TTTAGGGTTTTTCTTGACAATGAAATATAAATGCTCCTGGTAATACCACCTATGTCAGCAAGGAAGATCGACATCGAAGAAACTCGTTATGGAGTTTGCTTTCAATATGGCAAGACTAGACATTTGCACTATTGTCTGGACTGTTTGACTTTATGCTGTATAAACTGGACATTCAGGACCCACAGAAAAGTGACTGCTGATTCAAGATGGACATTGCTACAGAGTTCCTGCTTCATGGAAGAGTCTGCCAGACAGTCTGCAGGACAAAAAGAAAAGTGACTGACAAACTGCCAATACAAGAAGACAGTATAAAGTTTCCTGCTTTGCTGAAGAGTCTGCCATATACACTATGGCCTATGGGCTGAAGATGAAAGATTACAAAAGAACTTCAGGTGACTGACAAGGCAGTCAGTTGTCTCTGTCATTTCTAGATTTTATATATTATCCTTCTGTGGTCTTTGAGGGAGTTGAAGACAAATAGTTATGGTTATAGTTTTCCTTAGTTAGGATTAAAGATAAATTACATAGACTTTAGACACACAAAGAACAGATGATGGAATATTTTCTTCAAATCTTGCTAAATGTTAATGAACTAAATATTGTTAAATGTGATTCTTGATAACTGTTGTGTAATATATTTTGCTATGTTAAGGTTAAAACCTTTTTATTTATACAGAAAAGAGGAGATGACCAGAGATGTCATTCTGTAAATATATTTCTCATACTGGATAATGAATAAAGCACTGTTGGACAATACGAAAGCAAGAGAGGAGGGACTAGAAGACAAGGAGGCAAGAGGAAGTAGAAAGGAGGAGTCAACATGGAGAGATCAGGGAAAGCACAATGCCAGCCCATTCCCTGGTAAGATGAATCCACGTGGCAATACATAGATTACCAGAAATGGGTTAATACTTAACACAGAGCTAGCTGATAAGAAACTAGTACCTGGACAACAGAATTATATCAAATACAGAGTCTCGGTGTGTTAATTGGGGCTGGAGCTGCAGCAGGACAAGACCATCAGTGGGTGAAACAACCTATTCCTTACAGAGCACAAGCAGGCAAAAAGCAAAACATTTTTTTCCTATGCCCTTTATATGGACTGCCACCAGCTGTGACCCTGATTTTAGGGTGTGTCTCTCAACTGAAATGATCCAGATTTTGGATAGGTCTTCTCAATAATCCAATTTAGAAATATCCTTCATGGGTGTGCTTGCCTGCTTGGGTTTTAGTTGATTCCAGATATAATCAAGTTGACAAACAAAATTAGCCATCACACAACCCAAAAGTGAAAATGTGGATATATGAGCTGATCATTCAAAAGTGACAGATAATAACAAAAGCAAGTTTTATGAAACAATAGCTTGCCTTTATCATTTCATAGTTCTAAAATTTTTCAATCTAATTGCTAGTCAAAATGTACTGTTTCAAGGTCCATTTTTTTTTTTTTTTTTTGAAAACCATTTGGTTTCCTCACTAAATGAATGTGAGAGTATTCCACTACAAAGGAATCAGAGAGAATATTCTGTCAGCACAGGCACAACTCTCTTCCTGTCTAGAGGACTCAGTAGTATAAGAGTTCCTATTGACCTCCAGTGCTAAGACAGCTTTGATCTAGATCCCTTACCTACTCCAAACCATTCCATGTGGTAGAATAAGCAATGAATTCCCTCTTTATGGCAAACCAAGATATAGAAGTGGGAAGTGTCATGGGCCTTTTCTTCTCTTCACTTTGCATTTGTGGTGTTATCATCATTCTTCCTACAAGAGAAGGTAAAACAAAACTATTCTCATTTCTGAGAAGATATTAATTTTCCTGAAATTTTTATCATGATATTGAGACATGGTCATACTTAACAAAACTTGGATTCTTCATCTAGATGAAAACATGACTGTTTATCCACAACAGTCCAGTCAAGATCACTCACTGAATCATTCCCAGGTGGCCTTGTACTCCTGCCAGGGACTACAACAGAAGTTCAAATATCATGTAATTTATCTGCTTAGAAAACAAATTAAATAATTAAATATAAACAGTTAATAACAAAAACTATAAAGGAAAAACATCAGCATCTTAATGGGAAAATATTAGACAAGGAAAGCATTCTCAGTGAGGCCATAGATGTGAAGTAATGAAGAGAGAGTTCTTTTTTGAGATTTGACCACACACAAGTGGGCATGTGACCCAGAAATGGAGTGGTGTCGGAAGACCAGTCTGTCTTGATCCCACTGAGGAGTCTAGAATGCCATTATGAGATAAGATGAAAATCGTCTAAAGTTATTTGATTCTCCCGATCAGAAAATAGGAAATCCTTCAAGTAATGTCAGCTTAATGTATTTTTTGTAATACTCATGTGTGCAAATTATGTAAAGAATGAATTAATTAGGGGTGTGGCTAGCTACAAATAGTTTCCTTCAGAGACTGATTGCCAGGCTAGAAAGGCACTTTCATCTTCAGTAGAGTTGGATTTTCCTAAGAAATGGAAAAAAACAAATGAACCAACAAAATTTTGTTTAGACTATTTTCACAAGAAACCACAAAGAAGTGGATTGAAAATTGGGTTGATAACAAACACACACTGAGGGAGGTAGTGGAACACTCTTTTAATTCCAGCAGAGGAAGTCAGATCTCTGTGAGATCAAGGTCAGCCTGGTCTACAAAGCTACACAGAGAAACAGTGTCTTAAAAAACAAAACAAAAGCCGGGCATTGGTGCTGCACGCCTTTAATTCCAGCACTCGGGAGGCAGAGGCAGGGGGATCTCTGTGATTTCGAGAAGCCAGCCTTGTCTATAGAGCTAGTTCCAGGACAGGGCAGGCTCCAAAGTAATACAGAGAAACCCTGTCTTGAAAAAACAAACAAACAAAACAAACAATCAAACAAAAAACAACAACAACAAAAAACACCTTGAGTCAGGGAGATGGCTCACTAGGAAAAAGTACTTGCAGCCAACCCTGAAGACTGGAGTTGGATCCCAAGTACCACATGGTGAGGAAAACACTAACTTCCTCAGTTCTTCTTCGGCCTCTACAAGCATACCATAGCATTTATGTATATGCACACATATGTAATAACTCGATTAATTAATTAAATATCTTTATAGAAAACTGAACACAACATATTCAAAAGGAAAAATGGCAATTTAAGGACAGAGTAGTCACCAGGCATTGGTGGCATAGGCCTTTGATCCCAACACTCGGGAGGCAGAGGCAGGCAGATTTCTGTGAGTTTGAGGCCAGCCTGCTCTACAGGGTAAGTTCCAGGACAGCCTTCAAAGCAATACAGAGAAACCCTGTCTTGAAAAACAAACAAACAAACAAACAAAAAGACAGAGTGGAAGTATAAGGAGTATATGCTAAATAAAAGCCTAATGTGTGTTACAAAATTCTCACATAACTAATCTCATGCCCTATTCTGGGCATTATTTGTTAAAATAAGATATTAAAACAAGGAAAAAGGGAAAATGCCTGCTTTAAGGATTTTCAATTGTAGGTTGCTGAGCCCTGGTTGTTGAAAATAATGATACAAGATTTAACTAAGGAAATTAAATCAGAAATAGCAATAATTACCTGGTTTCACACTATGATTCCCTAGGGAGCTTTAAAGGCTAGATGCCTAAGTTCCGCTGAGTGATTCGCATTTAAATCGGCTGAGGTAGACCCTGTCATAGGTATTTCGATAAAGTTTCTTAGAGGATTCTAATGAGCCACTGGGACTGAGAATCCTGAGTTTAGAAGTACAGCTGAGGAATCCATATCAATAAACCTATTTCATTAGTGACATTAAAAGAGAGAAGGTAAAAAAAAAAAATCTGTCACGAAGATGTTTAGTGTGGATAAACAAGTACTTCAGTACATGAAAACAAAGGCCCATTTTCTTTATGGGATCAGTTTTTAAGCTTAGAAAAATAATGTTGTTTTTGTGAAAGAACAATTTAAAAACCTTTTGTATGAGTATTTTGTCTGCATGTTTGTCTGTGCAACACAGCTCTTGGAGGCCAGAAAAGGCCATCAAATCCCCTGGGACTGGAGTTAAAGACAGTTGTGGACCTTCATGTGGATCATGGTAGTCTAACCTGGGTGGAAGAGCAGCCAGTGGTCTAAATTCCTGAGCCATCTTTCCAGCTCCAGAGAGCAAATTTTTTTAAAAATATTGTACTTCTGTATGAACAATGAAAAGAGATTGAGGATGTGGGTATCAATTCTGCTCTTACAGGGAGACTTATCAGGGTTTACAAAATGAATGGTGTTGTAAAATAGTCAAAAGAATTTCATCATTTCTCCAAGAAAATATTTATGTGTAGATATATGGATTTATGTGTGTTCGTATGTGTTTATATGAAAATTGGTTACTAGATAGCCACTAGAAATGGATTTGAGAGTATCACATGACTAATGTTAATTGCTCTTTAGTTTGAACCATGGAATTTTGAGAACGGGACTCAAGTCAAAGTAAACTGTTCTCCAGAAACACAATGGTGGGTGAAAGGGCGTTTGGTGGCCACAGTAGCTCTCTACTTGGCCTGAATCTTTTAGTGCACTGGGGATCAGTTTGGACTTGGAACCAAGATCTTGTGTTGTTAAGAGTTTCACTTTGCCCCACTTACACATTCTTTGTAACCTAGCTACAGTTGGAACAGAGAGCTTGATGAGTTACAAGCGTCCAAGAAAGGATCTGAACCATGCCACATAAATTCAGTAGTGGTGGTGGACATCCCATGGGGGAGCAGAGACATATAGTTATAAGGGGATGTATGGGCTTCAAGAATTGGTGAAACTGAGAGAGCCTGAGAGGCAAAAGGAAAGAGGAAGAACTGAAAGAATCCCGGGATAACAGTGTGATCGTAGGGAAAATAGTATGTAAAGGGGTTAGAGAAGTGGAACAAAAGTGCCCTGTAGTCCAAGTACATTCTCAGCCCACCCAAAAGAGGTGGGATAACTCGGCTGGACTACAAATCCCAGCAGCCCCCGGGACTCGGAGCCCGCTCGCCGAACCGCGCAATGCCTGCTGGGGCCCGGCTGCCGTGGCCAAGATGTCGCTGATCAAGAAAAGAAAGCTTGAGTCGGGGGGCGGCGGCGCAGGAGAGGAGGGAGCTGAGGAGGAAGATGGCGGGGAGCAGGAGGCAGACCCGCCACGACCCCGGAGGACTAAGCGCGAGCGAGACCAGCTGTACTACGAGTGCTACTCCGACGTATCGGTTCACGAGGAGATGATCGCCGACCGCGTCCGCACCGACGCCTACCGCCTGGGCATCCTGCGGAACTGGGCCGCGCTGCGAGGCAAGACCGTGCTGGACGTGGGCGCGGGCACTGGCATTCTGAGCATCTTCTGCGCCCAGGCCGGTGCCCGGCGCGTGTACGCCGTGGAGGCCAGCGCCATCTGGCAACAGGCCCGGGAGGTAGTGCGGCTCAACGGGTTGGAAGACCGCGTGCACGTCCTGCCAGGCCCCGTGGAGACGGTGGAGCTGCCCGAGAAGGTGGACGCCATCGTGAGCGAATGGATGGGCTACGGACTTCTGCACGAGTCCATGCTGAGCTCCGTGCTCCACGCGCGAACCAAATGGCTGAAGGAGGGCGGTCTCCTCCTGCCAGCTTCCGCGGAGCTTTTCGTGGCCCCGATTAGCGACCAGATGCTGGAATGGCGTCTGGGTTTCTGGAGCCAGGTGAAGCAGCACTACGGCGTGGACATGAGCTGCATGGAAAGCTTCGCCACGCGCTGCCTTATGGGCCACTCGGAGATCGTGGTGCAGGGTCTGTCTGGGGAGGATGTGCTGGCCCGGCCGCAGCGCTTTGCTCAGCTGGAGCTGGCCCGCTCCGGTCTGGAGCAGGAGCTGGAGGCCGGTGTAGGCGGGCGCTTTCGCTGCAGCTGCTATGGCTCCGCGCCTCTGCATGGTTTTGCCATCTGGTTCCAGGTGACCTTCCCTGGAGGGGACTCGGAGAAACCCCTGGTGCTGTCCACCTCGCCTTTTCACCCGGCCACTCACTGGAAGCAGGCGCTCCTCTACCTGAATGAGCCGGTGCCGGTGGAACAAGATACGGACATTTCCGGAGAGATCACTCTGCTGCCCTCCCCGGACAACCCCCGACGTCTGCGTGTCCTCCTGCGCTACAAAGTGGGGGACCAAGAGGAAAAGACCAAAGACTTTGCCATGGAGGACTGAGCGTTGCCTTTCTCCCACCCACTTTCTTCGGAAGGTCAGAAGAGAAAGGGAGAGTGACTTCAGTCTTCATTTGAGGACATTCTTCTGGGAATTTTTTTTTTTTTTTTTTAAGTGAGCCTCCCTGACCAAGGACTGGTGCAGTGTGCTTATTAATGGGTTTTTTAAGTCTGGAAAGCATGTAGTATCAAACTTGTATTTCTGTTTCTTTGCTTTCACTGCGGGGGGGGGGGGGAGATAAAAAAAAAATGTGAGTTTATAATTGGTCCATGCACTAATCTGACACTTCATCCCTTATCTCAGTATGAAACTGAGAAGGACAAAATGGTTCGATTAGATTTCCAAAATTTCAAATGATTTTTAGAGTGTTTTGGTTTTGGTCTGAATTCTCTCTGAAGTCCTAGGTGGCTGTAGGATGTGGTACCCACACTTCCTTATGTTCTAGATAAAATTCCTCCCATTAATGAGGAACTGGAGCACATGTGAATTACTTTAATTACGCCTATTTTCATTACTCTTAATCCACAGGGTACTAAATTTGATGCACACAATAATCTTTATAAAATTACTGATTGTACAACCCATCTAGGCAACTCTAAAGTAACAGGAGAAAAAGTTTGGAAGTGAAAAAGTATGGGTTTGAGTATCCTTATTTTTACTTTTAAGACGGAGCCAAGAAAATTTCATATATGTTTTATAAGAAATATTCTATGATTCTTGTAAAGCCGGCTAACAGAAGATTGCTGAACACAATCCAAGAGTGTATTCCTTTACCTCATGTGCATTATTTAAACTCATTTGGAAGGAACATAAGTGGCCTACTTATAGGCTCCTTTCTTCAGTTCTTTTTAGTTCAGCAAAATGGGAACTTTGTGAATTTGGGGAAATTGCTTATAATGAAGTGTGAGTCATGTTATCAAATTTATTTCACTGACGTTTCTTCCCTCATTTCTGTGGCAAATAAAATGGCATTCTCACTTTTTATAGTTAAGGTCTTAAGACGTTTTGTGTACTATCTATGAGTTTATTATGATGCTGTCCCCATCTTAATATTTTGTGTCAGTTCTTAAGTGTTACAGCTCCTGCAGAACACAGCTGGAAGGCAATTCAGATTATGATTAGCACTCCTAGCTTTGGAAGGGTTAGCAGAAAGCAGTTTCGAAGACTGGTGATCTTGAGTACTCTTGAATTTTAGTTTTTGTAACCTTACCTCTGCTTTTAGCTTTTTTATTCATTGTATATTAAATTGCTAAAGTATAAAAGCTAATTTTCAGAGCTCTATTTTGAAAAAAAATATACGAATATAAACCATCAGTTTTACAGAACAGTCAAGCACTCCAATAAAATCTCAAAAATTTGCTATCAAATACTTAACATCTTTTATAAATGCTTACTCTGGAGATTTAAAAAGTAGTTCTATAGGATCATCTATGTTTTTAATCAGGCTTTCACCTGGAGTGATTGCTGGTGATTTTGGTCTGTAACAATTACCTTCATATTTGAAAGTTCTATAGACTCCCTCTTTTCTGCATATTTTGTAAATACAAGTACTATATTCTGGGATAAAAAGAAAAAAAGGACAAAAAAGGAAAATCCAGTTAAAACTTGAGAGGGTGAAAGTAAGTTTCAAAATTCTAGTTATTTTTCAAAAGAAAGACAATTATGCATACGGGGGAGCTGAGTCAGGCACTAAAAGTGGGAGGCATGGTGTAGTGCTTAAGAGGAGGGTCCCTGGCACCAGATAACCCAAACACATTTCTGTGTCTTCAAGCACGCCAGCTCACCCCCCCACCCAACACACACACTGTTTTTTTCCTTTCAAAGCCCTGGTGCAACTTGAGATATAATACCTATTCCACAAACATTTGAGAATACAGATAATTAATATAGGTAACCCAGAACCAACCTTTCAGTGTGTAAAAGGCAAAGCTAGAGCAGTCTGAGGCTGCATACAAAATGTGTCACTGAATAAATAATCATTTTGTTTTTGCTTTTCTTTTACAGGCATCTATTGACAGTATCGATATGGCTATACGAGAAGAGCGATATATGCCACTGAGTACCCAAGGATCCAAAGAGTGCTACAGCCTTTGGGATAAGCACACTTACGAGAGATGAAAGCCTGAAGTGTGTGGACACCCAAGCACTGTGTGATGTGTTATATGCATTGTGACTGGTAACATGGGCCCCTTAAGGCTCCAGGCCTAGATTACCAGACCCAAGAGAGTATCATGGTATAATTTACCTACCTCCCTCACAGTTTATATTTATTTAACCCTGTAAAAACTTCCCTTTTCTCCAATTAATTTATTGAGCCAATGGACATAGTTACTAAAAATACAATCTAATAGTCATTGTGATAGGTATTTGGGATTACAAACAGAATGTGAACTCTGCCCTCTAATAGATTACTACCAGTAGAGAAAGTAAATGCCACGACGATAGGATGGGTTGGTTTTAGTGTCAGAAAGGATGAAGTCTTTATTTTACACATTAAGTAAAAGGGTTTCTACAGAAATGGATTTGCCTAAAGTTACACACAAATAATTCTTTGTTGTTTGTTTTGCGAGATAAGATAGCAAGTGTGCAACACTGTCCTGGAACTCACTGTGTAGCTGAGAATGACCTTGGACTCTTGATGTTCCTGCCTCCACCTTCCAGATGCTGGAGTTAACAGTTCTACCACTGTGCCCAGCACACACCTAATTTTTGGCAGTTAAACCTTAAGCACAGCTCTTTGACCTCAACCTAAACAATTCACTGTTGATGATCCTGACTGTCTCAGTCGAGAACAGAACACTACAGTCTACCATAATGGCAACAAAAGTTTAATTATCTGATGATAAAGGAAAAACTTAGTACTAGTAAGTCTCACAGGTGATTAGACCTTCATAGAAGAACCATTTGCAGTGTATAACTCCTTGAGTTTGACACAGTAGCCACTCATTGGGACAACCCCTATTTTTATCTTCCTAAAAGTTAAGCAAAGGTGATACTGTGGTCCCCAGAGAACTGAATGAATCTACGACAGTAGTAAAGGCAGGTGAACTCCTTGTCATTTTGGCTGAGGGGCATCTGATAGATCTAAAAGAGATAGAGAAAATGGCATAAGGGGTTCAAGAAGGTAGATGTGAAAGTTGCCTGCTGTTATCCCCACAGTTTACACTACCTAGGATAGATGGTACCTAGGGAGCATTTGCAAACACAGGCCCCACTCTCTCCATATGCTCATCTATGTGTGTTTCTCCATTACTTTTATTATCAACTGCACAGTGTTTAAGCACTATAATAAGTGCACCCTCCTCTCAAACATCTAGGATACAATGGGGACAATAAAATTATATCAGTTGTTTGCATTCATCCATAAGTCTGGAGACCCTATCCAGTTCTTAGCTCTGCTGAGACTAGGGAAAGCAGCTCTCATCCTTTAAGCCTCTCCCTATCAATAGGTAGATTGTGAAAATCTAGAAGATTTTCCCATCTGATACTCTTATCCTAGACAGTGTTCTCCAAAATAGTCTGTTGCATAACAGAGAGTGTGTATTAATTAGTCAATCTTCCTTGGCTACTAAAACAAACAAAAAATTTCTAAGCCAAATCTATATCCAGTTCTGTGTGTGTCTGTCTATGTCTCTGAGTGTATCACACTAAAGGAATTTATGTAAGCATGTAACCAGTAGCATAATTGTAAACTTTTGGAACCTTTCATAATTAAATTCATCATCATAAAAACTGTAGGGGACCCAGAATCTGCTTTGCAGAAGACCCAGAATCAATTCCCTTTACTCACATTTTGTTTTAGAGTTGTCTATTGCAGCTCTAGGAGATCCACAATATGATAAGAAACAAAAGATAGTAAAACCTATTGAACTTGGTCACTGAGTATATAAACAAAACCACAACTCCAAATAAAAACAATTTAAAAGAGAAGTTCCTAACAAACACTGAAGTAATTATAGGCAAACAGAGTTTGATAGGAAGGCCTATGGAAGACTTAAAGAACAAAATACACAAAGATGGGGGGAGGGTTTAATACGCAGTTCTAAGATGAGAATGTGGCCAAAGGACCCAATGGAAAGAATCAGTTGATCTAGCTAGCATGTGGTGACTTCCAATAAGGCTTGATGCATGCAGGTACAAGGATGCCTTGTATTCAGTGGCAGTCACTTCTTTAACATCAAATTATTAAAAAATGGTAGTCATGGTTTGAAAAAAAAAATGACCCCAAATGGAGTGGCACTATTAGAAGGTATAGGCTTGTTGGGGTAGGTGTAGTATTGGAGGAAGTGTGTCACTGTGGAGGCAGGCTTAGAGGTTTCATATATGCTTAAGGCACACCCAATGAGACAGTTCACTTCCTGTTGCCTTTCAATCAAGATGTAGAATTCTCCAGCACCATGTCTACCTGCACACTACCATACACCCAGCCTCCATGCTTCCCAGTGTAATGATAATGAAGTAAACCTCTGAACTGTAAGCTACCACCTCAGTTAAATGGTTTCCTTTGTAAGAGTTGCCATGGTCATTGTGTCTCTCCACAGTAGTAGAAGCCCTAAGACAGGGATGCTCACACCTGAATCAAACAGCTCCCACATTTTCTGCTGATATTTCTAATGAATGACCAATGAATTTTAGTGTATTTATTTTTACATAAACATACATTTGTACCAAAATTTCTGGGTCTTGTCACTTTTCAAAAATTAAAGTAGCTTGAAGTTATATTGGGTTTATGGAGCTTTTCAAGGCCAAGTTTCTACAGGTGTCTAACTTCATACAATTCCAGGTGAATCCATATACATTATCATTTTCCAGAAAAGTGAGCAAGGAGGGAAGAGACTAGGTCCTGAGTGATGTAGCACAGAAGAAAGTATTTGAATACAGATGCCTGAATTCAGATGGTAGGCACACAGATGGGTAATGAAAATAACCATTTTCCAGTGACATAAAAACATTTTGGGTCCAGAGAAACTTGAAGTTAAGATTAGTATCCTCACTACACACCTTCCCCTCAGTCACCGTTACCTTAAAGTTTTTCTGAAAATATCTATTTATAAAATAGCTATACTTAGATTCATGGCATATTACTGTTTATTTTGATATGTGGCAATCTGGCAAGGTGTTATCTTTTATTTTTTCCATTGAGATAAGTTTTCATTGCACTACGTAGTCCAAGCTGGCCTAGAATTTGTAAGCCCTCATTTTTAGATAAGTTTCTAGGA